TTTTTTTGCACCGGGCCAAAAGGATGAAGAGCGTTCGCGTCTGTGGTGGTCGTATGGTTTTATACCAACATGAACACCATGGCTTGTGTATTTGTGGGACCTTTATCTGAGATTTCAGTGGACGGGCCTCCGTCGCAAAAACAACCCCCGAGTGATGTTGACAGACAACTGCCCACCAGCGTTTTGAGAGATCATCTAGGAGTTTATCAGCGCTTCTTCCTAAGTGTGTCGGGATTACGGTTTAGCGACCTTACTAACCAACCTTATTTGGCCAACATACAACCAGCATGAGTACTACTGAATATTGATGCACGCATCCAAACAAACGATGGTCAGGTTTCATGTGTTTGAATAAAGTCTGAGATTCCTTACTCAGCCACGACATTTCCCGGCTAAATAACAAAGTGCGTTGCGATGAGAACTAGACGCAGCTGGTCGTGTTAGTACACATTCCTACCAGCGAACTGCGAAGCGTAAAAAGGAAATTTTCTACACGTCAAACATGGTGAAAAGTAGCCGTGCTTTCGACTCCAATTAAATGGTCTGAAATACATCAACATACCAAAATCGTTTCTGGTCGTAAGTTACCTCATTCTTGTATCATTGTTTAGTGATTCTGCGACACCACAGACCAATTACGAAATTGATCTTGGCATATAGATCGCGAGAAAACACTACCATAAACGAGATATCCAGCCGTAATTCATTCAGGTCTCCCGTTAACACCAAGTTAAACTGAAAACGAACGTATTTTGTCAACATCGAACCAATATTCAAGCCAAGTTAATATGCAAATTAGCTGCAAATATAGAGTTGTTTATTGCTCAGCACTGCTGCACACAGGTGTCCTGACTGGATTGTTTGAGAAGCCATCGTACGCATGGCTGATATCGTAAAAACCAGTGCGTGACCACAAAAGGTGACCAGAGATGAAAGGAACTTCGCTGTGCAGTCATTTGAACAGGGCTTGGTGTCGATATAGAAGTCATCGGTTTGGTTAAGTCAGGAATTCTACTGATTGCCCTCCAAAATTTATCAAAGGCCTCGGCTTTGTTCACAGCGGCTGAATGTGGGAGGATATGGTAGTGACTTTGTAGCTGACTTGTTCATGCAGTCACTGTCGATCCGAACGTGCCAACTATCGAGTTGTAACACAAGCTTCTCTGGGTTTCACAAATCACGCCTTTCATCTACTTTCCGAGTGAACTAAATAAACATTCGATTTAAGGGTAAAGGTGACCAGTCACCAGTTATTACATGAATGAATGAGCCAAGATCCGGCTAGACCAAGGAACACACTTAATGCTTCAAGTTTCATTCCAATGTCTGATAGTGAATGCGAGGACAGTCCGTTACAACTTTTTGATATGCACTGCTCACTCATTAATGCAGACACATATATATGGTCTAGTACAACCAAATCGCTTAATAAAGGAGTGCACCTTTCCATATTAATGAAGTGAAATGTCAAAACCGCCCAACTTTTATAAAGGATTCGTTAATAACAACAGATTCTTCTAAATACAATCACGATGGAGACTGTCTTCGCGGAGCTACTGTGGCAACAGAGGAAAATGGTAAAATTTCAATCCGAATAACTGCCTTTACAAGCACCTGACCAACCAATTATTCCTAACAGACGCCAAGTCCGCTCACAGCGCTGTCAGCAGCAGTCTGGTGCGCCTTTCTAACCCTTAATCAACGATTCGTGGTGCCGTCAGCTCAAAGATCTTTTTAACAACTCGCCAGAATGACACTCAGAAGGCCCAGCTGCTCCTCTAGGAACTTGGGGCTAGAGAAATCACACACTACTCAAAACCCACGCAACCTCGACTTCTATGAAACCGTAAGCCTTCAGAGGTAGTAGATCCATGCACTTCACTTGTCAATACAGCGGCAACCGGCACTTCCACAGTAACTGTCCTAATGGATGTTAGACGTCGACAACGCAGATGTACATCGGCGACTTCCACCAACCTAAACCAGTCTGTGGAGGTGGGACCACCTGAATGATCAAACCTCAGTCGAAATGGCGACAAAAGCAAGAGTCTGCTGACAGATCTCTGAGTTAACCAGCCACCTGCAAAATCAATATTACAACACAAACGAGGTTCATCCCGCTGCTGGCCAGTTGGTTTGCATGCGAAAGGAAGGTGGTATCATGCGCCTACAATACAGCTGAGAAGCTCCGGAACATTCTCAGTCGGTTCACTTGGTCACATTAACGGTGGTGCGTCGTCCCAAGACACCAACATCCTTGGGTCCCCAAAGTTGACCTCAATGTCCATGGCCTGCATTGTTTCGAGCATCTTGGTCTTCTATATCCGCCCGTGAAATCACTATGCAGAGGCATTGTGGATGGGTTGTACTAATGTAGCCTAGCTGAATGCCAAAATTGCCCAAAAATCAGAACGTCTGGCTGTTGTATCCTTCGTGCAAAGGTGCATGAGGGCTTGGATCCCACCGGACTGGCGACCTGCATACTATGATCGTAAAGTCAAGGATCGATTCAAACCATTGATGTATCGTTTGTTAACTCACATCTTAGGCACTGGTCTGTCGTTCGCATACAATTGTTTCTTCTTCATGTCCCTTGCTCAGCTTGGCATATAATTTACTAGCTTAGTCGAGTCCTCGACTGAGGAAACTCTTCCGTATACCACCTCCGCGCAGTTCAATCCAATCCACTCTCACCTTGACCCTCGCTCAAGAGTGCTGTTAGGGTAGTTATTTTTTTACAGTCCTCTCATTTTTCAAACCTCTAGGACAAGACAACAGCCTCCCAATTGCTCTGCAAAAATGTGCACCCGAAATGAGTATGCTTTGACCAAGCTGGTTCACAGTTCGTTCGACACTATAAAAGCATGAAACTCGAAGAAAGGATGGACCCTCGGTCATCTTGATTTCTCTCCGAATTCCCCTTAACAATTTACACTAAAAACATTTAGGACCTAGACGATATTAACACCTGACCCACTGAATCACATAATAAGACCGTTGATGTTTCTGGCAGAAGTCAATTGTTAATCCATCGTGTGGTGTGGTGAATCATGTTTGAAGCGAAAGTGCACCGGGTGACGGAGTTCAAGCGTCCTAGATAGTTGTCGGTAGAGCATTCATCCGGTGAGCAGCAGGCCGATGATTCGAGGCAACACCGATGTGCCTTTTTCCGCATGCTATGTGTGCCCGGACTGCTCAGTTTGATATCGACTACCTTCCTCACATTTTCTAACAACGGGAATTCGCAGTGGCATTTTCTAAGACCTATTAGATAGGCTAGAGAGAAAAGCCAGCCGCGTCACGTCAACACATCGCTAAATACCAACCTATAGGTCTCATATGCTACTACCAAATTTAGCGATTTGCAGACTTTGTGAGTGGCGTCCCCGACCCATGTAATTAGTACCGTTTAACTTATCTCAACAGAGCCGAGGGCTGTGTTCAACTGACTGTTTTCCGTTGCAAACTTAAAATTTACCGCTATTCTTTGTTACCTCTGACGACCAAGAAATGGTGCTCCCTTCTGCCCCTAATCTCTTTCACCTCTTTTAACCTTTTGCCTTCAAATCGTAAGTGTTCTATTTTTCCTATAATCTGGGCTTCCTCCGAAAGTATCGGACTTCAAGGTTCAACCTGCCGTGCCGTTTCACGTTTGTGTGTAAGAAAATTTACTAGTTGTTTAAACTGCTGAATGCAGTCACAAACCTATAGACACGCTTGATTTCGCCCTCAATAGGGGAAATAGTACGGTGTTCTTATGCGTAATAAAATCTATTTTAGTAGTAAAGAAAAATAATGTGGACTGTTTCTGAGCCGTCAGTAGTTGGTGTAACTTAAATTCTACAGATGTCTACTTAGGCATGGCAAAACTCTTTTCACGCGAGAGTGATTTTGTTGGTAGCTTTACACACATGTAACTGAGGCGTTCTCGTGCATCGACATGATTAGCTGGGGGGCAGTGTCGTCTTGAACAACACAAGCGAGTAAATTATATGCCAAGCTGGATAAAGGACATATGAAAAAACAACTGTGTGCAAAAGATAAACCAGTGAGTAAGGTATAAGTTAACAAAAACGACGGTTTGAATCGACCCCTGACTTTCCAGGTACTTCGTTGTAAAGGCTGATAGTACTTCGCGCCTCCGACGAGTCGAATAGCACCTATACACACGAAAGATATCACAGCCACATGATTTGATTTGTTGGACTCTTATCAGTATTCAACTAGACTACACAAGTACTATCCAGTTACAATCCTTCTGACAACAGGAGTGGATGGCCAGCAGATGCCTTGCAACGGACGATACACGACACTGTGTGGTCGCAGAAACTACAAAGTACTGTGAGAAGGTTGTTAAAACCAATGGTATACAACTGAACCTCCTTCAACAAAGTACGGAGAATCTGGAGCAATTTATATAAGTCACCTGTTGCGATAAAAAATACCCCTATCGAGAAAGGCCTTCTAGTATTCCACTTGAGCTACTATACCTGATTTCAGCTCAGTACTATGGTTGATGTGCAAAGACCACCTCACCAGCCCGTTTCTTTGACACGTGGAAGTAAACCTTACAATCATCTAGCAGACAGCTTAATCATGAGCAGCAGATTGGGCTGAATGTTGCGCCGTGCTATTCAGAACATATATCATACTTAACTGACAAATTTCAGTATCTAAACCCAGGAAATAAAAGGGTCTCAAAAATCAGAAGCAAAAGGCGACAGTAAGAAATTGAAATTTCGCATTCTATACACATCTGCAAGACAGTACAAGCCCCGAAAGGTCCTCAGGCGGAAAAAAACTAGCTTCAAAACCGACTTGATCAAATGGGGGAGGTGGGCACAGCATTGGTAGAGAAAGTCGGCAAATTCTCTCACGCGCTCCAGATAGACTTAGGGTGGTTGAGAGAACACCGAACTGAAGATATGTACAGCCCTGTTTGGTGTGGAATGAGGGCATGTTCGTATACTGTGGGTCGACAACCATGCATGTGGGTTGAATCAGCGAGGACGTCTTGTATGAAAACGCGTGGGAAGATACATACCGGCACCAGGACTAGGGTTTCGGTTCATCATAGGTCGAACGAACCGGTGTGGATTGGAGGCATTGAAGCCAGGCTGGAACGGTCTATCTGCGGCGAGCCATGGAGCATGCATACGACTGGGGTCCATTTGTGGTCGCTGCATACCTTGGGGAACCATGCTACGTGGGTGTTGCATTCTAGTGGAACCCGGTTGGGGTTGTGGGTGCCGATGAACGTTGTTAAACTGAGACTGGACGACATTGTGGTTGATCGATAGACCAGGGCGTTCAGGCATCCGAATGTGAAAGGAGGGGGGTGTAGACAACATGCCACTCGGATCGGTAGGTGGCATAGCAACAGGTCTTCGGGGAACAAAGCCCGGTCGATGCACCCAATTCCCAGCTCCAATATTGCCTGAACCTATCAAACAATGAAGATGGGCCAGAGAATGAGCTACCCACCCGTGTACGGGACTGTCACGTTCGAAACAACATCTAATCCAGCGATCATTCAACTCTAGAGTTGAATGCTACGCGTTGGTTGTATATTTCTATTCAAATGTTTTCGAAACGCTTCACAGTACCGAAAGTGCATGCAGCCTGAAACAAAGGCAACTTCAATAATTAGGCCAATTGAAACCAACCAACGAAATTTTCAAAGAAAACCCATCTGACGTCAAACTGAGAACTGAATTTGGTCTAGCAGACAATCATGACAACCTACAAACACGTTCGGGAAACAGCGGTACTGGTTTTTCCCATGAAAAGGCCTACTGCTTGCCGGAACAGCCTGGGGAGCGACTGCTTACATGAGCTCAGGAACGACGTATCTCACAACGGTGCTCGTATTCATTCATAGATAATCACGAGATGGGAAGATTAGCGAACAGCGTCGGTGACAAGGACTACTGGTAGATGCGAAATCTTAAGAATCTAGATATGTGTTTCTTCCTGGCTGCTAACAGTTAAAAAACTAACAGACAACAAGTGAGGATAAATGATCCAGACAAGGAAAATGCTACGATTGACGGAGAATTCTGTTCTGTTGCTACCCCATTCAACAGAAGTTTAGTTCAGAATGCCAATAGTAACATGGGTTTAGAAAGAGGCAGAATGAGGCAGCTTCACATGGACAAACATGTCAGTCCTAAGGCCTAACAACGGGCAAACAATTCGGAGATCCAGAGGTGATTCGAAGACTGAATGACGGCATGTTAAGATCGCTGAGAATTGCAACTTTATACGAACGAGGCCAAAAAACGACCAACCAAAAAAGTCACGTGTAAAGGGTCATTGCCATTGCAAAACATCGGGTTCATTAAATGAGTTGATTATTAGCGAAATGTGGATGATTTAGTTGTAACAGGAGTTTGCGGAAACTAAAAACGAATCAATAAGCAGTCGAAAGAGCATTCACCTCGCATAACAACATCCGAACCGTCGCCAGGACGTACGACACTTGGGCCCAACCAATGAGATGCACGAGAAGTCGGAACTGAAATATTGAACGCCTGCTGAGAAAACGGTCGACAGTGATTATGAAATATGGATGTTGGGACACCATGCGTTTGAGCTCCCACTTGGCCCGGAAAATTCTTTCCCGATGTTTGTTCATGAGGGTGATTTATGTTCTCTGGTTGACTGGACTGAGAAACCTGGATGTCTGTGTAACCTGTAGGAAGAAATAACATTGGAGTAAGTGAAGAACGAGTGAGGGACCGCAGGATGACGGCTGTGGGGACTTTAAAAAAAAGGACAAAAGATAACAGATGTATCACTACAAACGAGACTGAATCTCAGTCTGTGGGGTGGCTGTGGGTAGCTGCAGCCAGTTGATCAGCTATGTGAATGAGGTACTAAACGAATCCGTTTTGTTTACCGAGTACATGGAAAATGACTACAACACATTGCAGGTGGCTGCTCAAAGAAATCATGTGTTTGGTAAGACAAGGAGTGAGAGTTACTTCGATGCAGGACCGCCTATGACTGCGTGACAGGACCATATCCGTGTAGGCCATTGGTTTATCTGCCGCCGGGGTCTCCAACCGGGGAGATGACAGTTTCCAATGCGACTGAGTTAGCGACTGAAAAAGTCGGTTTTCAGTGAACATTAATATCGAATCTCTTCCGGAATCAACCAGCCTAACCGGGTATTCATATCACCTCCCGAAACAACAGTGACAAATCTCGAGCACTGCATCATTGAAGCCTGACCAACATGACGAGGCGAACGCTTATGTCAGGATGGGTAGCGTAAACCGGGAAATTTAAGGAACTGGCTAATCCTTTCGTTGGGGTCAGCAACGCCACGGTAAGATGGGTAAGTAGTTGTACCAAAGAACAAACGAAGTAGTGAAGATCACCATATGCCTAATTAACCGGACCTCGTTCAGTAATTAAGTGTGTCTGATTGAAAGTTGCAATTAGCGATCAGGATGCACGGATTTCTGTGAACAGCACAGGTAATTAAATCAACTTTCGGTAATGATGAGTTTTCCCGCCAATTTGCATGTTCATTAGGAAAATATTCTCTGCCCGATTTGGATAAGTAGAGATGTTCTGAAATAAATTGAATAGTTCTCCTCAGAGAAACCAGGTGCTTCGCTTCGCACTCAACAAATGACATGCGTCATGTGGTATCATTACTTAGTGTGGACACGACTCGACCAGTCCTCTTGTCGGGGTGAACTCATCCCGCGTTTCGCATCACAGAATGAATTGTGGTGGCTGGTGTCACAAGCTGCCTGATAAGCCTGTGTCGAATACGCCTCTTCCCTTACTACACAGACCAAGAAGCCTAGGTTGGTTTTTAGCAACTTTATGGTTTACAGATAGATAGGTACACTACGGAACCTCGGTCGCCAACGACATGCTAACGAAAAACGAGCACTCAATCTGATCGAAAGGAGTACATGATAAAAGCAGCTGACAGACACGCCATAAAGGCCGAACCAATCAACTCATACTACCACCAAACTATAAGTAGCTCAGATGAATAATCTACACAAGCGAACCCTCTACCTGAGAAGTTGTCATACAAGGTAACTACATGATGCGGATTCCGCGACTGCAGGATGAGTGGTGTTATATCCCGTCTAACTATGAGTTAATCCCACCGAAAATCAGCTGAACGTTTAAGTGTTCAACTGCTAGTAGCAAAGGGACTGGGTCTTATTGTGGTGCGACGGTTTGCGTACCTCAATAGTCCACTGAACTGTACTGGAGGATGCCCAAATTGAGGGTTGGGATTCGAGTGACAAGTTGTTCCTGAAAATTCGGACTAATCGAGTAGTGTTGAACCAACAGGGATTTCCATTCTGTCGGGCTTTTGATCCAAATGCTCTGGTTGAGGATTCATATCGTCTTCCTGTCTAGGTATGGCAATGTCTCAGCCCACGCGCAACCACGAACTTAACAGAAAAAAGCACCTTGATGCTAGACTGGCCATCGCGTGGTGACACCAGCCGGGTCACTTCATTCGGTGCATACACCAGGGTGGATAGACGAAAACGTGCGAATGATTGTACCGACAACTCTGCTTGTAGTGCCTCCAAGCACGAGGGTAAACACGTAGACCACTGGACCTAAGTTAACCAAATGTAATATTAGAAGCCTAATATTAAAAAAACAGGTGTCTTAATCACTGGGTGAAATATTTTAAACAGTTGAGTAGACCCTCTGGCTCTGTTTACGTTTTTCACTCAGCCCGCTCTTTTTGAGCCATGGTTTCTAAGCTTACGTTCCCCCTAAGGTGAGGAATTACTACTATGCCTTTCGCCTTGAAGCGTCATCGGACTATTGGACCAGATGAGCTTCTCTCAGCGTTGTTCGAAGATGGAGGGGGTCCATTGTGTTCCGTTTCGAATAGGTTGTTTGTACGTACTTAGAACAAGAACTTGTTCCAGAGAAATAGGGCAAACCCTAAGTGGTGCTCCTCAGCAAGTGAGGCGTAAGTCAAACAGCATCAACCGGGATGATGAAATGACAGAATTCACTGTTCATATCTCTATACTACGTCAAGCGCTTGAGCAGCGCCACGTGAACCGCCTCTGGAAACAACGGCGTTCCTGAATAATCTTGGCCTGTAATCGTGGCAGAAAAAGAATGCCTTGAAATTCTAAGCGTGGTTCGTGTTCCCTTTCCATATCACAAACTGGATTGTGGTGTATAATCAACGGTTTAAAACCTTCCTCAAAATCTGTTAAGTTTGTTGGAGCTGTCCCTTTTTTCGTTTTCAACAACTTTTCATCGACGTTATCATGGAGTGCCCAATCCAATGGACCGTAGAGCGAGGCACAGGGAGAGATTAATGGACTCGAATTATGCGGACGACATGGCTTTGTTGTTTAATGATTATTCGTTTGCGCAAAGTACCTAAATCAGAATAACGGTGTTTCCAAGTGTGGGGATGTTTTACGCCTTCAAATACATCAAGATTTCCCACACTTTAACGCTTCTCTTAAATTTCGGAATGAAGAGCTTGAGTTTGTTGATTGGGTCACTTATCTTGGTATCTGAATAAGCCGTGATCATACTGTGACATGATGGTATTGCGCGGATAATGAAGACGCGACTATCCTTCGCCCACTTTTTTGATGTCAGGGAAGAACTTTGATGAAACTAAATGACTGTGTATACAGAGCAACTGTAAGAGCGGCCTTACTCCATACTTATGCGGTTTGGCCCCTCCGATCCGAGTGCCCTAGACACGTCCAAACGTTTGATCAACGACGCCTGCGCAACGGAGTAACACTTAGCTGGCTGCAGTGAATACGCGCCGAGAAGGGGCATACGTGGTACATCATAACGAATCCAAGTGGATAGAGCAGCAGACTGAAATTATTAGGTTGATGTGGTTGGGGCATGCCCAGCTATCGTCTAGTGAAGAAATCGATTGTCGGCGCAAGGTTCGATGAGGACGTGCATTACACAGCAACGCAAAATGAAAGCGGTTACAGTCAAATTGAGCACTGTGGGATCTTCGCGACTTACCGGTCGGACTCACGTGAACCTTGCCTGAAGGTGGTTGATTGCGGGCCCCGTGCCCGGATCGCCTAGCTAAAGTTCGCCTGTCTTTGTGTGCTGGGGTGATGTCAGGCGAGGTTCACAAAGGAGGCTGGATCAATCTAGCTTACGGACCCTTCGATATGATGGTAAGACGTGCTTAGTTTCTTAGCACCAAGTCCCTATTCCTTCCCTTTTATTTCCACTCCACTAGGCCTTTCTTCTTCTATCGTTGAAGGACAGTTAAGCACCGCTGTGTATTCACGGTGTACCGCTGTCAATGATGAAGACTTTGATGACAAGCAGCAGAGCTGCAGGTTCGGAATTTTTCAGGATAGGTTGACTGCACTGCGACAGGAAGGTGAAGTCAGTACAGCGACCAGCATCTCCACATTTAAGGAGGCAGAGATACCTCTTTCCCAAAGGAAGGGTTGGGAAAGGTAGGCCCTAGAGAGCGCACACCCCGATCCCCTAAGAGTTGAACATGACCCCCGGCACATTACTCAACACGGTCGAAATACTTTTAAAACCAAGAGTCTAGTGCTGTCCAAAAGACGCCTAATGCGCGCAGCCGCATTAGGAGTGAGTAACTAATGCCTTTCTTCCTGCATCCTCGGGTCAGGCCGGTCCCCCGCAGCCAAGTGAGTCAGACCACTAAATCACTGGCTCCCAGAACGGTCCCCGAAAATAACCCTGAAAACCGCTGCTTCGCGATTCAAACGTCTCAGTCAGGCTGGATTCAGGGCTCTCAAACAAAACCCTAGATCCTCCCACTGTCTTGTGGGTCAAACCTTTAGGTCAAAGGCTCAAGGTGGGATACCTCAACCAACCCCCCTTCTTCAGCTAGGCAATGGCTCGTGATATCTACGGTGTGGATGCTGCACTCAGACCCAGGGCTGAAAGCGCCTTACTGAACTCAATCCCAGTAAATATTCGCCTATGCGCTGTGCGGTTGTCTGGCTCAATTAAGATCCGTGCATATAGGTGTTTATTTGTCGTACTAGCATACGCCCGGACAGACTACAGCTCTGAGACTGAGGACGGGATTTATCAAGATTTGTCGCACCTGTTTTGGTCAGCAAGAAAGGCGGATTTAGTAATCGTGGTGAGTAATATGAATGCCAAAGTTGGACGAATAAGTTCGAAAGAAGCGCAGTCGGGTGGCAGAATCAGAGTCGATGCTTAGCGTACGGAAAATGGGAAACGACTGTTTCAGTTGTGTGCAGATCATCGTCTTCTCCTGGTAAGTAAAAACTTCCAACACAAACGCTCACATCGAGTCAATTGAAGGCCAACAACCGCAAGACATTCATGGACTCAGTTGGACCATATGGCTATCAGTCACCGATGGAGAGCGTCGAACACAGATTGTCGTTCATTCCAGTGTACACAGCTTGACTCTGATCATGTCATTGTGCGGACCCGGCTATCACTTCACTTCCCGTCAGCAATACGCGTGCTAAAACAGAGCAGTTTCATTCATCAACTCCGAAGCACATCGAGCTGACCTGGCTAGAAAGCTGCTGGAAGCGCACAGTGATGCAGATGACAAAGACTGTTGGGAGACTGAAAGGAAGCGGTTTAAAGAAGCTAAGCTCTCAGCTTTCAGAACTGTTTGTCCAGCCAATCTGACTCGACTCAACGAACGCGAGATATCTTTGAGATCAGCAGAAGGCCATACCAGCAAATAGCGACTATGATGGCGCACACAGATTCCTCAAACACCGGATAATCAGGAGCTTGAAGAATGACAGATAACGCTGGTGGATTTCGAAGGCCCAGGAGATGGAGAAGTCTTTTGCTGCAGACAACAGCCGCGCCCTGTTTCAACTGATTCGATCAACCGGCCAGAAGACAAGTGCCAGTGAAACGGTGCTCGAAAAAAGCAGAACGGCAACTGACCTGTAAAATCGTCGATAGTTCGATTCACCCTGAATTACGGATCAGAAACGTGGACCCTACGCGCAGAGAATATACGAGAGCTATCCAATGTTTTACCATCGGTGTCTCTGAAGGAATGGTGTGGTCTGGTAGAACATCGGATTAGCAAAGCTGATGTAGTCAGATTTTGGTAACTGTTGTCTTTTCCAAAGTTAAATCATCCGGTTTTTCGTCTGATACGCAGGTGTTCGTAAGAAGTTTACCCATCAGATGGAGATCTTCGCCACGTCAAACTGTTTTAAATAAATCGTGGTGGTGTGCAAACGGCAGTAGTGCGTACAAATGAATGATATGTGCATGAAAGCAGCAGTCTCTGCACGAAACGCAGCCTGGTATATTAACAGCCAATCAAGAAACAATGAAGCACAGGTAGCTATCAAGACCAACGGCAAAATAAATTGCTGAATGGTGCTGTACTTTGAGGTACCGTGTACACTTTAACAAGAACTCCAAAGAAGATACGTCAAAACAACGATTTTTTTTGTGACGAGTGAGGAAAAATTGCTTTCCCCTACCCCATTAGATTTTTGTTGTCCAAATGGTTGACGTGGGCGCATATTCTGGAGCTGTGACGGAACATCTATAAACCAAAGGCAATCTGGATGACCAAACCAAGAAACCACTCGAAATGTCAATTTCAGTCCCGATGTTCCCATGGAAACTTTTGGTGCGAAAACAGAGGGAATATGCAGAAAACGACTGTTACTTAGGAATCATTGACGTTTCGACCAGTGCGTGTTTCAGCCGAAGCAATTAAGGCTACGAAGATGTCACCTTTCAACAAAAAATCGTCAAACAAACTCTAGTTCAAGAAAAAATGATAGCGCACATCATTCCTGAATTGTGCTGATCTTGGCAAAGTGTCATTTACTTATCTATGATTAGTGAACTGACCGCCTTCGATAGTCTAAAGTGAGCAGGATTATTCTTCGGTATTCTGCATTGCATAGGGACAGCTGGTTCGAAATCTACTTCCTCTAGGTTGGCTAACCTAAGTTTACCGGTAGTTGATTCTTTTCTCTTATTCTTATTTTGCACAACGGCATTACCCATTTATGTTATTTCGGTTTTGCGCCTATACCATCTTCCTTGTTCTTCACCTGAACATAAACTGTTCTTTGAACTTGTCGTCGCACGTGGTGTTAAAGTCAACATGTGGTTTCGCTATCTTGAGTCGGTGTGGAGTCTGGGATCCGTAAGGAATTAGCAGTTCATAAACCGGTGCATAGCTGGATTATTTTGTTATTGTATTTATAGTACCGCATTTGTAGACAAACCTCCATTTGAACGATTTGGCTTTCGGGACTTTGAGCGTAACTCAACGTGGTCCAACAGATTGCTGGAAACAATCGATCCCGGTAAGGCTATGGAAATCTATATTCATTTTCGCTCATTGATTCGGTGGTAACGTGTAGACCACGAAAGAGTTCTGAAGGGAACTTTCATAACAAAGACCAAGTGACAAGCAGATTGATTGACAACAGAGGTTATCATTCAGAGGCGCTAGACATGCTTTGGTCATAGCTTCATAGTGGATTCACTATGTCAAATGTGCCCTGCCACAGGCTATCTATTACGACTATCACTCAAAGAATTGCAGTAAAAGCAGCCGCTTAAGTTTCAGGTTGATACGTACCAGAGCTTGGTAATAGACTACTGAAAGGATAAAGTTGCACATGGATAATACCAAATCGCACACAGGAAGCTAGGGAACGACAAAAGTATTGTCAACTAAGTTGTTCCACAGTAGACGATATGTGAATGACATTTCGAACGCTACGAATAATGGCTGCTGATACCTATGCTTGATCTGAATTTGTATGATGCTGGTAATTTAGCGACGCACGACGATGAATACCTACAAGCGGCGGGCTGACTACTATCGAGGATGAGCAATAAATAGTATGGAAAACCTAACTGCAGTACATTAACAGTACACAGACTTACACAGCTCTTGAGTGGGCATTGATAAAAGCTAGCGGTTGACTGATGTGAGACTAAGGAACCGGATAACTTATTTTCGTATGAATGCGCTTACTCTTGATAGACGGAGCTTTGATAAGTGTAAAACAATTTTGTCCGAAACCCGGTCCCGTCGACAAGACAACAGAACACAGGCAAGGCTGCGAAAACGGACTAATGAAGTGTTCACTTTAATTGTCTCTTTAAATGCTTTCCATAGAACCCGTAAACGAAAACCATTTTGGTAAGTTTTACGCTGCCTTGTAGTTTGTCTGTTCATGGTCAAATGAGTAGTCGTCGAGTACCTAGACGATTCCAGTTCCAATTTGTACAGGAATGAAATAATCGAATGGTACGGTCGACCCCACTATGTTAGGTGGTTGCATATTACCAAAAATGCTTATATGTACCGGGTATACCTTCGGTATACCGTTACTCGTCACAACGGCATTGTTGACATTTGCATCACGAATGAACTTGTGAAAAGGGTATTTGTGTTGAGTCCCTTATTACGCCGGTATATCCGTTATCCGTCGTCCGAATATTTGTTTATTTTGTCACATAGATCATGTGACATAGTGTGTCAATAGTTTGTGAATGATAGTGTGTGTGAATAGTTTTGCCGTAGCTTGCGTTACTAACCGTGTTGTCCAGTTTCACTTGCAGCCGTCGCACTACCACTGTTGTGGCTCTGGATAATGGCTAAAGTTGATCGCTGACAAGCCAAAGGCACGCCTACTTCCCCGGTCAATTCACCTATACATTTCATCAAACCTGTTGGGAATCGTGGAGCGACCTTTGTGTAACTGAGTGCAGTGATGTTTCATTGAGGCTACAAGATGCTTGCGGAAGAAAGACAGAGACAGAACACCCATTTTTGCAAACCCAACTCATCGATACCTCTCTTCAGCTTCATTATTACCTTTGGACAATCATTTCATTCTGTAGTGGACATCCTAACATAATCAGAGCAAAGTCCTAATAGTTCAGTGAAACTTTAGAGAAACGAGTTCCGACGACCGTGTAAGCTGTGAATGCACTGATGTAAAATCCAATTAGTGTACTGTCAAATCAGAGATAATACTCATCAACTTGCGTCAGCCGTGACGACAGTAACCGGTAGTCGATAAAGGACAATCGCGATCTGGTAGACTAAATGCGGATTGTGGGCAGGACCGTTTAGCTCACGAAGATATATGACTCAGAAACTCACCAGGTGTCTGTTTTTCAGAATTTTGTTGTTTTGATGTCGGTGCATCCGTCAATTTTGCCAGATCCTGGTCGGGAGGTATACTCCCAGGATATTTCTCAGTTGGCGGTGGAGGTGGGGGTGGTGGTGGTGGTGGCGGCAAGGAAGGAGGGGGTGGGGGTGGAGGCGGAGGGGGTGGAGGAGGTGGCGGTGGTGGCGGCGGAACAATAGCCCCCTGTTGTGTCGCAGATCCAGGATTTGCAAAATAAAGGGGATTTTTTTGCGGTTGAGGCTGTATTGCTGAGAGCAATAATGGAGAGAAGAAAGATTGTCTTGAATGGTGCACATGAAAGGACAGAAAAGACCAGGAAAATGAACACACTAACTCAGTCACAGAACTTTTAGAAAAAGGCAGCAGAATGGAATGCCTGGTCAGTAAATAAGGATTACAACCTAACATCTTACAAAAACAAAATCTTTAAAGCCAAAAGGTTCTCACAAATGGAAATGCGAATTCGAAATTTTACCATAGAATAAGTGTATATAGCCGAGATCCCGTTTTCTACTTCAACCGATGTACGTACTAACTCGTCACAATAGGTAATGTGAAAAAAACGAGCACGTTGAAACTGTCATGCGAAAACGATAAACGCTGGGATACTGTGCCCCGAATACGATGTTAACACTTAGGGGTGATGAAGACGACGCAGAATACATCGACCATCCATTACCAAATTGCACAGATCACCCTATTGGTGTGTGGTGAAGCTGGGCTGTACTTTACGTATGTTCAGACCGAAATACGGCTGTGTACTTTCGAACCGCGGAAGGCCTATTGCAGACTTGTCAAACCTGACAACGCGAAACTTGGAAACACGTCTTCGGTACACACCGAAATCGGTGCATTATATGCTTCAGCGAAGCAACTGAGCCAAGGCTATCATGCGCATAGACACCGTATAGCGTTTATCGCAGAACGGCGCCATATCAGTGTGATGTAAAGTCAAATGCACCATAGGACATGAAAGGCACATCCCAAGATCCTTCACGGAAAGACACAAACCCAGATAAAAATAAATAAATCACTTTCAGGGGTTGCCTTTCACAATCAGGTAACCCATTGTTTTCTTAGAAAAACTTCCTTGCATAAATTCTCCTCACCACACACCAATAACCCCAAAAAAGTTTCCCCATGTGACAGAAACTGCGCCGACTGTAACACAAAGTGACCACCAACTAATACGTGCATTTGGCGGCGCAATACGATTGCTCGAATTCACCGGAAGAGTGGGCCGAATGGACAGTTTTACCTAGAAAACCACCTTGAAAACAATGTCTGCCCGACAATCCAGCGCGAAAGGTCAGTCCGAGTTTCTGGCGATTAAAAAACGTATGGTCTTGAAAATAATGAGTCAACAGAAGAAAGAAATGAGGTGCGAATGGTAGTCATTCAGCTCCAACACCCTTTCAGTGCAAATTTGTCATTTTACCCGAAAGAAGCACTAGGGTTGAGATACCACCAGGCCTAAACAGGAGCAGCCAACATGCAGAGGTTGGGCTGAAACTACAGACCTGATCTCAAATACTAAGATACCTCGAGCTACATTGAAGGTGGTCACGCTAAACTAGGCTAGAAATCGGTCGGGTATCGACGGGCAAGAGACGTTCTAAAATGTGCTTTCGAACTTTTTTTGACAGCCGATGCGATAGTTCGATAGGCGTCGGCCAAAAACTATATCTTGCAGCGTCTCAAAACATGAACAGTGGGGAGCATGCGGACGCCATCCTGGAAGGCGTCATACCCACAGCACCTAGATTTTTCGTAGTGGCCTTCATAACCCTCTGCCAGGTCAAAGACTGATCACACATCTACTTGTGCCAATGACTTGGGCACGGAAAACAGCACTCTTCGGCCTGCACGAGCTGTGGTTCTGAGATAACGGTTGTCGAAGACCTGAAGATGTCTCAGTTCCGACGCTCGAAGCAGCCAAGTCTCAACTCCGTACAATAAAACAGTCGCACTTTAGCCTGAAACAATGTCCCTTAAGATTTAGGGGTTTGTTGCTTTGCCGCCATATATGTCTCAGATCATCAAACACAACCCGAACCTTACAGACTCGTCTACAGCTCTCATCTGTTCACTCAACATAACTCAAGAGGTCTGACACCCAGAACTTACCAGGTACAAGAGGTATAATCATTGATATTGGTGGGGGAATGACAGCAGGCAAGTTGGATGAAGTTGTTGAGGCCATGCTTCGGCCTGCGCTGTGGTTCTGAGATAACGGTTGTCGAAGACCTGAAGATGTCTCAGTTCCGACGCTCGAAGCAGCCAAGTCTCAACTCCGTACAATAAAACAGTCGCACTTTAGCCTGAAACAATGTCCCTTAAGATTTAGGGGTTTGTTGCTTTGCCGCCATATATGTCTCAGATCATCAAACACAACCCGAACCTTACAGACTCGTCTACAGCTCTCATCTGTTCACTCAACATAACTCAAGAGGTCTGACACCCAGAACTTACCAGGTACAAGAGGTATAATCATTGATATTGGTGGGGGAATGACAGCAGGCAAGTTGGATGAAGTTGTTGAGGCCATGGCAACGGGAATCGGGGCAAGCCCCGCGATGGAGTAGGCAGGTGCTACCAAAGCAGCGGGAGTAGCAGGGATGGACGTTCGTAGTGTTCCAGTCGCTCCATAAATGTATGCGGCTGTTGGTGTACTGGGCGAAGCGGTCGCATTGGTTGAATGTGAGGCAGAAATGTTTAAAATCAGATCACGTAGGCGGGAATCAGCAACAGAATCCTCATCTATCTCCCCGTGACCTGCCAAGATTTGATCTAATTTGGGTCGGGTGAGCTTGGTGATCTCATCCACGGGTAAATAAGTGCAGCCCTCGACCGGGTCCCAGTAATTTTTCATGTAAGTTTCATTGCTTTTGACTCCTCGATTCGGAGCCCAGGCCACTTTGATTTGTCGACCGTTCATTTTGGACTGGTCCATTTGGGTTAGCGCTCGATGCGCGGCGCGTCTGGTGGAGAAGGTGACAAATGCACAGCCACGTGGGGGAATAAAATTGCACTCGACCACCTGACCACCAGCCACTTCAACACACAAATTCTTCAGGCGACTTTCGGCCAGCTGCTTGTGCAGATGTCCAATGAAGATAGTATGTGATAAGATAGTGACGTGATTGGCGAGCACAGGAGGCATGCCGATACGTCTTCGTCGTTGTCCGTGATGTTTGAAGTTAGAATAGATGGAGAAGTCTTGATCCTGATCCGAGTGGGAGGAACCCGCATGTCGTCTGACAGAACCAAAAGGAGTGTCCGGAGAATGCCGCACGTCGACATCAGCACTTTCGGACTCAGAGACGTTCTGGAAGCTGCCAGAAAGAGGATGACCCGCATATGCGAGCAGATGACTGTCATTTTCATCGATCCTGAAAATAAGTGCACGAACCAGGGTAGGATCAGGACAAGTTGAGTTTGGTGGGAAGAATCCGGCATAGTATATGTACATACTTCCTTCTCAACTTTTGGATCATGAATTTCAGCAGCTCATTAAGATCATTACTGATTAGTCGGGGCCACACCCAAACACTAGTAATGCTCACCAGTATGTGAAGCTGCTACCGTTTTCCGCACGCTCCGCGCAAAACTTACGAAACACTGAAGTGTTCTCGGGTCACCCAAACATAGAGACAATCGAGAGTTAGATTCAAACAGCAGCGATGATATTTTGCGGCGTACATTTATATTCTGGGTGCAGCCAACTTTCGCGTGATGCTGCTATCCCTTTAAACATTCCTTACTACGAATACCACCCACCCATTGAAACAGATTTTTCAGTGCCCCAATTCCTCTAAAAAAATGAAGCCCTTTTGGCGAAATTGGGCACACCAGTTATTGCTATTATATACTTCAAGTCGTTTTACCGATAAATGTTCCGCGCACATAAGTATTTTTTCTCGAATTCCCGTAAGTTTAGAGCATCTGCTACGTGTATGTAGCCCGAGATAAATCAGTTATTGAGGCACGAACTTACTGACCAGAAATTCCGTGGTTCGAACGCAACCGGGACATCTCCGTTGCTCCTGTTTAGGCTAAGGCAAACGGTAGCATCTTACCCATCGTGCCTCCTTTGGGTAGTAGCGCAGCTAAGCATCAAAAGGGTTGCACAAGTGAACGAGTATTTTGTCAAAGGGTGTACTCGCAGGCTGGTCATGAGGTCATATTCCCGTCCGTATACAATTCTAATTGGCTGCTAATCCATAAGCCTAGACAAGATGGGTCCAACGTTGACTTCTGTGATTTCTGCTGCATAGTCGGAAAATTCATTTGCGTCCCTATGACACGAACTCAGAAACCTGCCTACGACACCGTTACCATACTTTCCGTTGAGGACTGGCTACTACAAGCCCCGCGCGCGCAATCACGGCCGCGCCGGGTTTCGAATGTGTGGCAGTGATGGGGTCGGGGTAAGATGAGGGCACAAGCAGCCGGATGGCGATGGCTTCAGATGTTGATCGAAGCTGAAGAAAGTCAAGAAGCGGTATGACGAACTGGCTTCGATAAAGCGTGGTTTTGAAGACAAGCGTGGGCTTTCGGATATCCATGCGTAAGTCTCGAGTGTGATCAGTTATCGCTACTGGTTGAGGACGTCCGCTTCGATGCTGGTCATCTCCCAGATCCCAGCTGTCAGCCGTTGGTTGAGGTATTGCGGGAGATGATCCTTGCATAACATGTGGTTGGGCTTGCTCATAGTAGAAGTTTTTGGGACAAATGAGAAGCCCTATCGCAACACTTATGCGTCCCGGCTTAAGCAGCTGAATACCTTGCTACACAACATGGCACATACAGAACCTGACGGAATGGAAATTTAGACAAAGGAATCATGATGAACTGGTCAGATGTTTTCCCCACTGAGTTCCATTTAAATTGGTTATACAACGAGGGCTTGATTTAGTCGTTTTCACAGATGGGTACACGGTTGATAAAAGTAGAATATTTTGGACATTACCAATCGACAGTTTTCACAAAGTACGCACATCTGCAGGGAGGTTTAATCCGTTGGGAGGTGAAAGACCAACTGCGCGTCATCTGTGTATGACAGCACTAGTGACTGAACCATCACAAAGGCAAAAACAAACAAAACGAAGTAGAAATGTCCAGTTTATAAGGAAATCTGTTTCCCTAACAAAAAGAACACTCTCAAGTAGATAATACTCGTGATCCCAAAGTGTTGCCTTCATATGTGGGGTTCATTGCTCCTCTACCCTACAGTGAACTAAGAAAGGACGCTGTTGGACCAGTGGTTATAACACTACTGTCGAACCAATTTTTCCAAGAGGCCAGATGGCGTATTGAGGAAAGGAAGGAAAATATAATAAAATGATATGACAGATGAAGATACCGATGTTCAAAAGAAGTTGTGGTTCCACAGACTGTGCACGGCAGTTATCCTTCACTATCCTCCGGCAGTTCCAAAACTTACCACAAGTTGTTAGTGTTGTACTCCTGAACACTAACTATTCTAGTCAGAGTCTTACGTAACAGAAAGTGCTTAGGTGGTCACGTTTAACTAGCACACTGTCTTTCTGTATAGCAGCTGACGTCTGGTGCAAAAAATAGTAAGAGATTCAAATAAACAGATATACAGAAAGTCTAGTGCCCCTGTGTCCATAAAGTTTTTCACCAGATAATAGTTTCAACTAGAAAGCAACAGACACAGGAGTCGGAAATCACTCGAGCCGATGAGTAAACCAACAGCGAGTAAAACAGTCTGAGACAGCCAATGCCTTTTAGGTCAATGCCTACTGAGGTCATGCCACCCAAGGAAATTCATCGATCTGATTCATCAGATGAACACACCGTCAAGCTACTCCCCCAAGCCACCAAAAAGAATACACCGAAGTTGTAACCTACCTGTCAATGACAGTAGGCCAGGAAAACCATGGAGTCGTTGATAATTCAGACCACATAAGTCAGGTATATAAATGAAACACTTCCTGGTGGAAGTGGTTTCTCCGGCCTTGAGGCATGCAAGTGGACTACATCAAAACTGACCTAACATGAGACCATGGGTTTTGAATGCACGGGCTCCAGTTTCACAGAAGAGGCGTCTTATAGCTGTAGAAGTCGGGATGTGTGAATGTCATAAATATCAAAAGCGAGTTTGAAATCCAAGAATACAATGACCCTTAGACATGTTTACAACGGCATCAGCTCTACAAGAATGCAGCCAAAATATTAGGGTACGACGAGAAATAGCGGTTCTATGAAAACTGCTAAACACTTGGAGGATTTGATGGAGAAACACTAAGTAACCGGCTGTTCACATAACCAAGCAAGAACAAATTAGAGGGAACCGGTCTCCAATGGCGAAGAGATCATGTACCATGCGTCGAGTGAATGACACCCGGTACATAATTTACATTTAGCCCTGCGGGACCCTATCAATGACGTACTATTGTCCAGACAATGCGCCATTGACTCTCACAAGCGAGCTTTTAAAAACGAACTTGGTATCTCCGGACAACAGTCTTCCGATACGAACTCAGTTCGCTCAATGAACAGGTTTATCAAGCAACATGGTAAAATCAAAGTAGCTAACATTGGAAGGATCCCCTCGAATGATGTCTTCCCAGTTCTGACGGAGTTTGGGACACTGGAGTGACGTTCACGGAAAGGTATTGGGCCACACAGAAAAGAAACAGGTCGTTAGGGCCTAGATATTCTCAAGTGTCCTACAGAAAGTGAACATCGACAAACCTGCGAATCTTTCGCGGATGACGAAGAGGATGAGTCCAAATTTCCTCTTCCCCATCTTCCTGGCCAGATTCATAGGCTGCCGTATCCTGTGGAGTACCTCGCAAACGAGATCGGAATGGTATAGCTCGATCGGATGGTAAGGAATCGCTGGAGACCACGGAACCATTGCCAGGTGGACTGCCCGAGTCCAGAGGAGGTTCGGCTAGTGGACGAGAACGGCGACTTGGTAGACCATGGCGGTAAGCAGCGACCGGCCTTGGACCGCCATCGTCAAAGCCCTGAAGAACACGCAGAAAACACAGGCGTCATATTGCTAGGTAAGGCCCAATGTAGCAACCATACGTGAACCACCAGAAAACAGGAATACTGAAATCAATTAGGATCCGCTTTTCTTCCGCATCTTCACTAAAATGGCGTGTATTTTTGCAACTGTTGGCGAACAAATACTAACGTTGGTGCAGTCAGAGCTTGATTTGCATGCAGGTATCTTCGACGAAACATGTACCACAGTGGGCAAAACAAACCGAAATGAAATTTCGTCTACGGATGAGGAATTTATGCACCACAATGAGGTCAAGGTGTTGCAGAACCAGAGACAATTTATTGGTCATCAATTCTCGGCGGGAGGGGCGGTGGAATCCCAACTGTTAAACGCTTACATACACGCCAAACCGTCAGAAGTAGGTTAATGGAAATGACCTGTTTTGAAATAGTGCAGTATCCCCGACCTTGTTTCCACACTTGCCGTATAAAACAATGAGAAGAATTAACTGTCTGATGAGTAGCTTGAAGGTGAGGTAAACTTGGAAGTAGAGAACCTCCATTTTCAGAGATGATCCCTCAAAAAACCACATTATTAATTGAGTTGCCGGAGCTTAGATAACCTGGAAGTCGGATTCCTCGAGTGTTCACTTAGGAGGATGTCAACTTTGATATGACAACACCCACAAAGATGATGAAAAGGGCCTGATAGTCCAGAACCCGTTTCATCCTTTTTGGACTCACTAAGTAGACCTATTTCCCGAAGTTCTATCAATATTATTCCATACCTCAATACCAAAGTGGATGCAGGTGCAGATGAACAGTCATTTGCAACTTAAGCTGGCGTTGATGAGAGACTGAACTGAAGGATACTGTGAGCGAGAGATTCATCAGGGATCGATTTAAGTCTCCCAGTAACGTTTTCTTAACTGAAAAATGAGTATTTATCTGAACAGAAGGTAACTTCACTCGGATGAAGAACTGGAAGTTATAAACTGAGACCGTTTGCCTGCCAACTGACCCCCAGTGGTCCTCCAACAAAGCCTGTTTGCCTGAGTGTTTGGAAGACTCAGTGCAAGTGCGAGCATCAGACCAACACTACCTCTGCTTTTTGATAAATGTCTCATGTCGGAATATCTTGTAAACATCGGCCTCCAAATAGTTCCACGATGAAATTTATTTACATGCCGTTTTTCTTCATGAAATCACACGAATACGCTTTTGCCACGTACTAGAGCCTGAAATCGCACAATTTCAACCTGCATTTAATTAGCGAAGTATCTCACGAATCAAGAGATGAATGGCGATAGATCAATAAATGCTGGTTAAAACACTTCTTCCCTAAACAGTCGACAATAAAAGCCCAGAGTTTACCATGTGAGTCCAAACGATGAAGTTTCACCACGCGTCAAAAACCAACGGGCGCGCGAACAGAAAAGTCTTTTGTTTTGTACTACTTGTGAGTAACGCAAAAACCAAAAAGTTTAGAGCTTCCGGGTTTTAAACTGAGGCCACATTATCCAAACATGGGAATCCTTAGCTTGTGGTTCTAGTAGGGCTGTTTGGTTCGCATGGCTTCAGATTGCTTACCGCACACTTGGAAACAGTAAAGTTAGAGTGCCTAGATACAACAGCCAAGTCGCATAAGCAATCGCATAACAGTACACGAAATAGCATGGTCGGTACGTATCGTTAACCTCCGCAAAACCAGCGCCCAGAGGCTCGAGCTACTATCTGCAATGCACGATGATCCCCTTGTCTTGTTGTCGATCGCGAGACCCTTGAAATAAGCCATCTAAAGTGTGGTGCACGATTTAGACCACTGTAATGATCTGTCTGAGTGGTTTGTTGTATCAGAGTTTTTACTTCCGATTTATTTTACTTAATAGCTCTGCAAAATTCAGGAATGCTCTTCAACCGGCGACTAGTGTGTTATAGAGTCACGGAGGGATCCCAACGAAAAGTGTCAGCTTGAACAAACAAAGAGAAACAGAGGGTGCATAGGGTATGCTGGGGATAGCGTATTAAGATGGAATGCCCACTGAAAGTGAGGACGAAATTCGGCTCTCATTGTGGGCGTGTTCAAGTACGCTGGACAAGTAGAAAGTAGTGGCAAATACACGTGGTCATTGCTGTGGGTGATACCTGTTTGACTAATCTACACGGAAAATCATTAAATTGCTAGTACCAGCCTCAAAAACCCACTTGATGGGAAGAAGCGAGACAGTGGGATCGACAGCAGAATGCACGAATCTGCAAAGCTCGAATCGGCTTTGCTAATTTGTGTCACCTATGGCGTCAAAGCGGTATATCCTCTCAAGGGACGTGTTTATCAGGCTACAATGCGGGCTGTTTTGTTGTATGGCTGTGAGCCTTGGCCTGTTCGAGCCTGTTCGGGTATTCGACAAACGTTGTCTCAGGACCATAGCTCGTGTAAGTTCGTGCCGGCAATTAGAAAGCGAGTTTTCGGTCGTGCACAGGGACTTCCATTGAAAAATGTGTCCAGCACCAGAGGCGGCGTTGGTTAAGCATGTATTGCACATGACGAACTATCGTTCGCCGAAGGTAGTGCTGTTACCCATGCCTAATTCAGAGTGACGGAAGCAGAGAGGTGGCCAACCCTTGATCTGGTAGACGGGTATGAAAGAGATTACGAGGTTGGTCGTTGGCTTGTTCGCTGAGCTGGGTAATTTTGGTTGCGAATGTTTCATCACCAATCGAGGTGGCTGTATGTACAACCGATCGCTACACATCACTACGCCCCCTAATAACGCACTGGTGATGTCACCCCGGTTGGTGATAAAACGTTCGCAATCAAATCTCCCAGCTCAACGAACAAGCCAACGACCAACTACGCTACCTGAGCTACCAACATTTTTCTCTATAGATTACAAAATCTGGTTACTGTCAGTGTTACTCGCCTTCCACGATGAGGACTGTGTGATCCCCACTGCACCTAGTTGGAGACGCTGCAAGATGGTTGCTAATCAATGTCAACAGCGTTCTTGTTGTCAGTCACTATCCAGATTGCCTGAACGAATGTCTGGAGGTGTGGGCACCCCGGAATGGTTGTGGTAAGGTAGCAATAAGTCGCTTCCCTGTCTAATTTTATTCTTTTCTTCACGATCAGGCTTTCGAATAAATTATGGTTGTACGTCAGTGTACCGTGTTGGACACCGATGTGATGCTATCGACGATGATTCCAACGTAGCGTGTTCCATTAACTTGAAATGATATTCTCCAAGTGCCGTCGAATTAATGGTGTTAAACGGACAGGCGTTCATAAGTTGTGCCCAAGTGGACCCGTCGTATACCTATGGTTGTTTGTACACTTGCCAATGAAAATTTCCTTACCCAAATCAGCGGCAAGGGCAAAGGCATCTGATGAAGCACCATTCGGTCATTGGAAGAGTGAGTGTATCCGGTCACGTTGGTGGCCGATACTATCAAAATCCATGGAACTATCACTCCTGATATTAGTAGATAGTAGTAGAATTATGCGTATTCACAACGCTCGACTAGAATTACAGGAACTAACGGCCAAATCTAACTTCTATGGAACCTTATGGTTATTCAGAAAGATGTATTATCCTCTCGTAGGAACCAGCTAATAATCGAAAACGCAAACAAGCCAGTAGACGATTCTCGAGATGGTGACTAGTTTGAGTAAGCCGGAGAGAGAAGAGACGGAATTCGGGATATCAACAGCTAAAATGCCCAGCTGTTTGGCCACACCAGTACTGGTAGGAATATGATGATGTAAGGGCTCTGTAAGAGTTCGAAGAAAAGCCCAATAGCAAGTTCGTTGGGATATTCTAATGTAGCCGAGCAACAATTTCCCGAAAGGTAGTATGATAAACAGTACGAAATAAAAGATGCCACATGACTGAAGCGAAACAATGAAACCGCTTTTTTCTTCGGGTGTAATTGTCTACTAGATAAACAGAGAAGGCCCGCCAGGGGTTTAAGATGAGGAGACAACAAGCGAGATGGTCAGTGGTGTACCATTAATATACTGGTCCACTCGGTAATGCCTAATGCAACCCGCTATGACTAAAATAACGCCCATTTATCAACACCACATATTAAACTGATGCAAACTACCGCCTTAAATTTCTTACTGTTGTGCCCAGGTAGCGTATATCCGAGGCCTTTTTGGGGCCAATTATTCAGGTCTCAGGAGATAGTCATCCGAAGGTGAGCAAAAGTTACAAGGGAAAATGCGGTAACCATAAAGTTGTTGCGGGTAAATAACCAGACCGAACGTACATCGTATATACGACCATGTGTTGTCACTCGAGGTTGTTCGGGATACCGTAACAGCACTCGGGTAGAACGTGACACGAAAACAACCGTTCACTATCATCAGTATGATCACCAGGGGTAGCCAAAGCAGCATTGATACCGATGCCTCATTGTCGTACAACCAATTCAGTTTAGTTTAGTTTTTCAGCCACAAAACGTATACAAAGTACAGTGGCTTCAGATGCTACAGTTTCATTGGCGGAAGATAAAGGGAACAAAATAATGGCGGCCATATGTTGGAGGCGGTGGTTCAGTCAGTTCATTGACGTCCAACTAATCCGTTTATCCGATATGGCATAGTACGATAGATACAAAGTGAAGGCGATGGTTTGATGCAGGATAGACATTGGCTGCCCGACAGAGACAGATAGTCCAATGATTCAGCATCCGGGGAAAAGGCAGGCAACAAAGCAACTATGTTGACTGGTGAAGAATTTTATGCTTTGTTGCCAGGTCTTGGACTGATCGTCTCGGGCCATCTCCATCCCATACATGGTTGCAAGAAGAAGTCTTTGGCATGTGAACTACATGGCGAGCCAGTGTAATCCATTTAGTGTGACCAGCTGATCTATCCGGAGAGAGTTACCTTTGCTGGAGTACTTTAGCATTACTTACCTGATGTCCGCATTAAAATTGCGCAACCCCTCGGAAGCACCGATAGTCTTCGAAGGTTTTCCACAAGCGGTAGCCACGCTTCAGATCCATAAAGCAGGACAGATCGGACAGCGGAATTGTACGCCCTACCCTTGACAGTCAGCCTGGTGTCACAAATGTCTGAGGTTGGCAAACGTTGACTTACCCTACCCCATTCGGGAAGTGATTTCGCCTTTCATCAGTCTACCACAACTGTCCAGATAGACAAACTTATTCACATCGACTGGTTCACCTGCAAGCATGAGGTCTGTGATTGATTCTATCCAACCTTACGGTAACGCTACACTCTACAAGTGTGAAACGCACACCGAACTGTGCAGCAGAGTTATTAAGGTTATTAAAAGCACCTTGCATTTCTGAAGGGTCTGATTCGAGGATAGCAATATTACCGGGATACTCAAATTCCGTGAGCGGACGCCCTAAAAGTATTTCTATCCCCAAGGAATTAGAAGCAAGTAAAGAAGACTCAAGTGGCATATCAATCATGAAGTTAAAGGTAAAGGTCGACAGAGGACGCCCCTACATGACACCACTGGATGTGGTGACTCAGGAGGGGATTTGCCATAGACGTCCAGGTCCACGGGGGGAGGCGTACAGCTTTCATAGAAAGCAATAATTTAGGAGGTACTCTTCGTCACCAGACACCACCAGTTACTGAAGATTAACAGTAAAAACAGCTTTCCTAGCGAGAGGAATGACCACTGTTGGTCAGAGAGCGTCTTGGAAGTCGTGGCTTCTGGAAGGATCCCACAGAAAATTTGAAAAAGTGAAGGTAAGGGTAGACGACATTATTCTAGTCCAAAAAGCTCAATCGAACAATTCGGATAGAAAACGCCACTGAAATCCATTACATATTGCGGCATCTCCCTGAGAAAAACTAGGAGTTGACAACATAGTCCCACAGGAGTCTAGTTTTGAGGAACAACACTTGAAACACACATTAACCTCGCTTAGGTCAGTCTCTGTTCGTGAGTTATTCTGGTATGAAACTTTGACAGGTATCAGAGGTTCCTACACTCGTGCAGTTCCATGAGTGATAGTATTGCACAGTGACAGAGCATTGCTACTCTCGATCGCTTCATGTTAGGCAATCAACTGTGTTCAAAACAACTAGCTTAAGGAGTACAACCAGATTTAAAACACCAAACAACAGATTCGTTATCAGATGTAGGAGCATAAAACCGAAAGATTAGACGATACCACTCTCAAGGTGCATTAATTGGTGTCTACTTTAAGATAATCTGGCGTTCCTTTTCGAAAATACGAACACTATCACTGTAGTGAGCAATCCTTACCTCTACAGCATCCGGACCGGACTCGACATCACCACATTCTTCAGCTTGACCAACAAATGAACCTGAATGTCCCGACACAAGCGACTGATGCTGTTGTGTATCTATACGACCTTGGTTCAGCCGCTCTTGTAGTGCTCTGGTCTGAGCAAGTGTGTCCACCATGGCCTGGAGGCGAGCCAAAAAGCTAGGATCAATGACGCTGCAAAAAGAGAAAATCAAATGATCGTATGTTCGTGCTCTAATGGAAAGTAAAAATTTGCTGCAAGATCATTGACAGCCTTCACGTTGACAACAAATTTTGTCGAGGGACTGTGGCTTATTTGGGAGGGCAAAGTAATACTATAGCGGAGCAATGAGAATATAAATAAACACTATACTAGCGAGTTAGGCTCTACGTAAGATACTCCCATCCTATAACTTCATACTATTTTTCCAGGAAACCAATGCCTGAACCACTTCTAGTGATTTCGATAACGGCGCCGCAAACTGCACTCGCCACGCCGCACTTATTTAGACCGAACGCTGAAACAAAATCAGTGGGACGACCCAGGTCGTGGTATAGAAAACCAAGGAATACATATAGAGCTTAACCGAGGTCAAGAGCACGTAAATGGAACTTGTGGAGGGGGGCAGGAACTGCGTGACTTGGTCATGTATTTTGCTGTCACCACTACTCACTAGTTGCCGCTAGACCCTGCCTTCACAAGTATATTTGAACCCCTGAGGAACGAGAGTTCGATTAATGTAGTCCGCGGGACCGCTGAGGCATTTGAGACCGACGACAATATTGAGGTGGTAACTCGACTTAGGAAGGCACTATACAGGTATCTCACAAGGGGAAAACGTCAGTTTTGATGAACGATCGTCGGCTTGAGATATTCTTCGAGAAAATTGGCAATGGTGAATCCGGACAGTCTCTCAAGTCGACCTACGCAGCTGTTCGTAGTCTGTCAAATATAACTGAGAGTGATATTGAAGATAACTTGTTGGTTAAATGGGAAAGTGGGTTCATAGCAGAAAGGGTAAAAGCACGAGTCCATTTACCAGAAAGTGAATAAACTCGCCAAAACATGCTTTTTAAGATCCAGAAAAATTGGACATGCCCGCTTTATCCAACAATAAGTCCAAGTTACCGAGACCATAATCAGATCGATCTGGTGAATCCCGTTTGGGGTGTTTAAATTGAAAACTATCAAATTAGTTATATGTGAGGCAACGGGATGAGGTATGGAGTTGGCGATCAGTGGAGTCCATGACCATTTTCAGTCCACAGGTCCTTCGATTGAGAACACTTCGATAACACAACGCAGCATTTCACGTTAGTGACTAGTGTAGTTGGGGTTACTGGTAATGGTTTCCATACCTCGCTGCCAGGTAATTGCTCAACATTTTTCTGGCCCGTTTCCACCCTCCGTGTGGTTGTGCGAAAAGGACTCTCCGAGAAAGTCGGTCGACCATTATACGGAGCACCTAGGGGCGACATTATTGGTCAAACACAAAGTTATTCAAGGCCAGCTCGCTGCGGCCAGGTTTCTGATTCATATAACAGTATAGAACGCGCCGTAGCATCATGAACTCGACCCTTGACAGAGAAGCTGGTGATGCGGGTTAGTAAAAGCTGCTCTGTGTTTCCCGATCCAGATGGAATTATCGCCTTTAGCTAGATCAGCTACCCAAACACAAAACTTTGTCTACTACCTCAAGTGTCTCATTGGGAAACGTGAATTTCGGTTTTGATCCTACCCAGTCTGTGGTAGCATTTTACACATTAAACCATGGGGCAGAATTATCGAGGGTATTTAAATTGTTCACAGTTCGGCTGGGCCTGATCCGATATCTGTTTGATATCTGTTACCGAACGCTCTGGAAGAATTTCGACCCGACAGGTAAAATAGTAAGTTTTTCGGGTGGATAAACCGGGATTGTTTTCCGCCTTTGAAGGGGTCTGGATACAAGCCGCCTAGTCCTGGTGACTTCCCAATTTAATTCTTATCCCGGTAGGCTAATAAAGTGTCGATTGCGAGTTTGAATCACTCTGAAGATTCGTGAGGTGCATTCTGGTGATTTCCGATTAGGATAAGAAAGCTGTATAGTGCTTCTCGGCTTTCTGGGCATAAACTGACTTCGCTTACGGGACGAAACTTCATTGAAGTTAAGTCGTTAAACTCAGGTGGCCTCTACATATAGAAACTAGTCGGCCACCCAAAAGGATCCCACTTGTCCTTCTTTATCCCCAATACTACTTTTTGGTATGCTGTTCCTTCTGTCTTCCCACTTTCCTATGTGGCAATGAGTTTCGTTCGTTCTCAACCAACGTAACAGAGAGAGAGGCTAATCGCTTACACACAGTTCACTAGTAAAATAACCACTAGGAATAATACCATGGATTGATTACTTCCTCCTGTTGCCAGTTTATTTAACTGTGGCTATCAGTTTCAGATTCGTCGTCATCAGAAGCATTGCATAGAGCTTCTTAATATTCCTGATATTTGTTTGGGTGGATGGTTCACAATTCGGCAGCGTTGGATTAAAACAGAGTAGTGTGATGGAGAGAGAGACAGTGCCTGCAAGCCAACGAGAACCGTGTACTGTTTGATTCTCTCATGGAGACACAGTGAAAAGTATGCGAAACGAAAAACGGTGGTAGATTAAATTCAGTCAGTGCAGCATACTCACCTCAATTCTTCCTCTCCCTTTCCTTGTGCCAACTGGGCTTCTGCTTCCTCTCTCCGCTGATTTAGCTGGGACATGAGTGTACGAAGTTGGGAGCGCACTTCGGGGTCAATCATCCCAGAATGATTCAACAGAGCCGACTGTTCCGCTATTTTGCGTTGCATGACCTATGTGCAACAGGTTGAAAGCGATGAAACGGTTAAGCAATAGAATTTGAGGAAAAGCTGCGGAGCACACAAGGATTGTCAGAATCCGGATGCGAAGAAGACGTTTTTGGGAGTGTAAAGCTGTAAGCACTTTTATAGATACGGAAAGGGAAAGGACCAGCAGGATCTTCAATACAGGAAAAAACCATGGTGAGTGCCAGGTGGACACATTAGAAGACTACAACCCAGGTGACACTCAAAATGTTATCAGTGTTCTTTGCGGTTTCCGGTCCATGTCTCATTCCTTAAGGGGCAGTCATTGCTGGTGTAAAAAGTGAGGGGGTGGTTGTTTGCTTCAACAAAACACAGTACTCCAAGTAAAAAGCATCAATAACGACCGTAAAGAGCAAAAATGCGGCATCTCAAAAATATCACATGTTCGTCTTGACGTGCAGTGTATGGTAAACTGTGTGGTGGGTGTATTGTGAGTTATTCCAAGTCTTGCGACGTAAAGTGGAACGTTCCGTTGGTTTCTGTGGCTTTCCTATATGCATTATTTCGTCCGGATGTTCGTCAAGATGTCCAGCTGAGACAAGTTGGGGTTGTATTCCCCATCTGAAAGTCCGCTCAGTTGCGAGCTTTTGGATGGGGAATACAACCCCAACTTGTCTCAGCTGGACATCTTGACGAACATCCGGACGAAATAATGCATATAGGAAAGCCACAGAAACCAACGGAACGTTCCACTTTACGTCGCAAGACTTGGAATAACTCACAATACACCCACCACACAGTTTACCATACACTGCACGTCAAGACGAACATGTGATATTTTTGAGATGCCGCATTTTTGCTCTTTACGGTCGTTATTGATGCTTTTTACTTGGAGTACTGTGTTTTGTTGAAGCAAACAACCACCCCCTCACTTTTTACACCAGCAATGACTGCCCCTTAAGGAATGAGACATGGACCGGAAACCGCAAAGAACACTGATAACATTTTGAGTGTCACCTGGGTTGTAGTCTTCTAATGTGTCCACCTGGCACTCACCATGGTTTTTTCCTGTATTGAAGATCCTGCTGGTCCTTTCCCTTTCCGTATCTATAAAAGTGCTTACAGCTTTACACTCCCAAAAACGTCTTCTTCGCATCCGGATTCTGACAATCCTTGTGTGCTCCGCAGCTTTTCCTCAAATTCTATTGCTTAACCGTTTCATCGCTTTCAACCTGTTGCACATAGGTCATGCAACGCAAAATAGCGGAACAGTCGGCTCTGTTGAATCATTCTGGGATGATTGACCCCGAAGTGCGCTCCCAACTTCGTACACTCATGTCCCAGCTAAATCAGCGGAGAGAGGAAGCAGAAGCCCAGTTGGCACAAGGAAAGGGAGAGGAAGAATTGAGGTGAGTATGCTGCACTGACTGAATTTAATCTACCACCGTTTTTCGTTTCGCATACTTTTCACTGTGTCTCCCAGGAGTAAGTCTTCCATGATCATATCGGCGATGAAGTTGAAGAAGGAAGGCGAAAGGGGACGGCTTTGCGTAATACCACTGAATGTAGGGCTTGTCGCAGACCTTGATGCGTCCGCAGAAGTTAGCCCACAAAACTTTGAGGGCCAAAAGCCTGTTGGGGGAACCGTTAATCAGCAGACAATCCCATAGTATCCGACGACCAACAGAGGCGAAGGCGGATTTCAAATCAAGGGCAACCATTAGTAGTTGCTAGAAGCAGTGTCACTGTTCCGAGATCCGTCGAAGAGTGAATATGTGTTCAGAGTATCATCCTGTAGGACGGAACTCAGATTTGTTTTCTCGATTCTGCACCTCAGTGTTCAGTCAAAGTCACTGGATGAGATCAGGGAGCACACAGAAAAGGTTTGCTTACGTTGTTCGCGCACTCTGTTTGAAGGAAGGAATGACTGTTGTGTCGCACTTTGCAAGCAATCTCTTCTCTCCATACAGTAATAGTAAGTTTTTTCGGGTGGATAAACCGGGATTGTTTTCCGCCTTTGAAGGGGTCTGGATACAAGCCGCCTAGTCCTGGTGACTTCCCACTTTATTTCTTATCCCGGTAGGCTAATAAAGTGTCGATTGCGAGTTTGAATCACTCTGAAGATTCGTGAGGTGCATTCTGGTGATTTCCGATTAGGATAAGAAAGCTGTATAGTGCTTCTCGGCTTTCTGGGCATAAACTGACTTCGCTTACGGGACGAAACTTCATTGAAGTTAAGTCGTTAAACTCAGGTGGCCTCTACATATAGAAACTAGTCGGCCACCCAAAAGGATCCCACTTGTCCTTCTTTATCCCCAATACTACTTTTTGGTATGCTGTTCCTTCTGTCTTCCCACTTTCCTATGTGGCAATGAGTTTCGTTCGTTCTCAACCAACGTAACAGAGAGAGAGGCTAATCGCTTACACACAGTTCACTAGTAAAATAACCACTAGGAATAATACCATGGATTGATTACTTCCTCCTGTTGCCAGTTTATTTAACTGTGGCTATCAGTTTCAGATTCGTCGTCATCAGAAGCATTGCATAGAGCTTCTTAATATTCCTGATATTTGTTTGGGTGGATGGTTCACAATTCGGCAGCGTTGGATTAAAACAGAGTAGTGTGATGGAGAGAGAGACAGTGCCTGCAAGCCAACGAGAACCGTGTACTGTTTGATTCTCTCATGGAGACACAGTGAAAAGTATGCGAAACGAAAAACGGTGGTAGATTAAATTCAGTCAGTGCAGCATACTCACCTCAATTCTTCCTCTCCCTTTCCTTGTGCCAACTGGGCTTCTGCTTCCTCTCTCCGCTGATTTAGCTGGGACATGAGTGTACGAAGTTGGGAGCGCACTTCGGGGTCAATCATCCCAGAATGATTCAACAGAGCCGACTGTTCCGCTATTTTGCGTTGCATGACCTATGTGCAACAGGTTGAAAGCGATGAAACGGTTAAGCAATAGAATTTGAGGAAAAGCTGCGGAGCACACAAGGATTGTCAGAATCCGGATGCGAAGAAGACGTTTTTGGGAGTGTAAAGCTGTAAGCACTTTTATAGATACGGAAAGGGAAAGGACCAGCAGGATCTTCAATACAGGAAAAAACCATGGTGAGTGCCAGGTGGACACATTAGAAGACTACAACCCAGGTGACACTCAAAATGTTATCAGTGTTCTTTGCGGTTTCCGGTCCATGTCTCATTCCTTAAGGGGCAGTCATTGCTGGTGTAAAAAGTGAGGGGGTGGTTGTTTGCTTCAACAAAACACAGTACTCCAAGTAAAAAGCATCAATAACGACCGTAAAGAGCAAAAATGCGGCATCTCAAAAATATCACATGTTCGTCTTGACGTGCAGTGTATGGTAAACTGTGTGGTGGGTGTATTGTGAGTTATTCCAAGTCTTGCGACGTAAAGTGGAACGTTCCGTTGGTTTCTGTGGCTTTCCTATATGCATTATTTCGTCCGGATGTTCGTCAAGATGTCCAGCTGAGACAAGTTGGGGTTGTATTCCCCATCCAAAAGCTCGCAACTGAGCGGACTTTCAGATGAGGAATACAACCCCAACTTGTCTCAGCTGGACATCTTGACGAACATCCGGACGAAATCATGCATAGGGCATTTTGAAAAACTATGCCCCACAGAATGACTTTACACTGAGTGCGAAACACATCCCGAAGGACTGCATCAGTCTTCATGAAATCTCTTCTTCCTCGTTTTAAAAATCCTGACCAATGTCGTCCGCATACTCCAGTTAAGGTACTTCGCTGTAATCGGGTTCGGAAGATTCTCCTGAGCCCATTTCATTACCTCACCAATCACCAAACTAAACAAAAAATGAAGAAAAAACTGCCTCAGCGTCAGGCACCACTGGCCGTAGACGGTGCTGCCGTCTTGATCCGAAACTTGGTAACCTTGTGCAGACGGAACACGACTGCTTATTTTAGATCAGAGATGTTTAGGCAGCATTGTAAACATGTGGCGGCGGCACCCAGGTTTCAATAATGAGCTACGTCGCGTGATATTTAGGAAATGGTCTCATGGACGCCAGAGTGACAGACAGAAGGACCCCAGTCGCTCTGGATAGGGACCAAGATGCCAGTCGATGAAAGATAAAAGAGGTCGGCTATGCCATGCCACAGAGGTAACGGAGGCAGGACAAGAAGCTCTAGTCAAGTTTTTGTATGCTGCCCGCTGAAGGTAATGTTTAAGGCACGAAATAACTGGCTGGAAGGTCCACGGTTCAAACCCAACCCTGGCTTTTTGATTGCTCCTGTTTATGCTTGGGTAACGCGGGGATATCTCAGTCATCGTGTTCCTTTTGGAAGCCAACCACCAAAATAATGCTATGGCCAGACGTTTGTTCTTTATTGTTTTGTTGTCTATAAGAGTTAGGACGCACCTAACTGGTGAATAACGGTTGAACAACAAGAAAACGGAACATACCATTTCCCAAGAACGCGGGGCTGACAAACGTCGTGAGGAACCATTTTCTGATGTTTTTAAATGTGGTGAACGAGCAATGGTTGAACACCAACCCAGTAGAATCAGGATTCAACACCGATACAGATTCTACTAACCAAATCGTATCATTTCACGCGACCTTTGATGCGTGAACTGAACAAGTGAAGAGGTTCTTCATCCTAAAAACATCTGTATTGTTAACTTGCTGTTCCCACAAAACCCACCTAAAGATTCAAATAAACCGATGGTAAAACGCCGAGTTTTTGCACATTCTGTGCACCTAGAGACCTAGAGAACGACGTCAGACAGGTGGCAAATGTGTTAGATGTTGACAAAAGTTGTCCTGGCCTTTTGATTCAAGAAGTGAACTCATCTCCAACCAACCCACCGAAACCTATACAACTACCTAGGTAAATATATTTAACTACCATGGTGGTTGGCTGGTCTGAAAGCATCATAATCATCATTATGATGATGATAACTGCAAGCAAACAGCCATGCACGAGCACTTAACACTCCGGTGTGAAGCATATACCAGACCATCTCGCAGAATTAGTATCGTTCAGCTGTAGCACCCTTTCGGTGCCTAGTTGCCATGCTACCTGAAGGCTGCACGAGGGCTAGGATACTGCCAGGTTGCCCAAACCTAGACAGGGGAGTCGAGAGGCAGTGGTCGAGTTCGAACCACGGACCTACCGGTCAGTAAATTCGCGCTCTAACCACTTGGGCCATCTCGCGGAATTACTTGGACCATTTAAAAATACTTGCAACTTTGAAAGACCTGAACCAACGAGAGCAACACCACCCCCACAATCAGTTTGTCAGTGAATCCTCCGAGGGCATTTCAGCAACATTACCAAGAAAATCGTTCAGTTGTATAAACCTTTCGACGACTCACTGCCATGCCACTAGAAGGAAGCACGAGGACTGGGATACTGTCATGTTGCCCAAGCCTGGACACGGGAAGTTGAGATGCACTATGAGTAATCGTGGTACGAGGCGGTCCTTTCGACGACTGCCATGCCACTAGAAGGAAGCACGAGGACTGGGATACTGTCATGTTGCCCAAGCCTGGACACGGGAAGTTGAGATGCATGCACAGTAATCGTGGTACGAGGCGGTCTGGGGGTAAAGTCGTACTGTCCTCTGCGACAGGAGTGTGAAGGCAGTAAGGTATTTCCCCCAGGCAACCAGCATGTCCATATTTATGGGAGCAGCGATGATGCCTTTCCCTGAGGAAGGACGGGTTAGAAAAGGTCGGCCCCAAAAACCGCACACTCCGATCACCCAACGGTTGACCGTGACCGCCGGCGCATTATCCAATACGGTCGAAATACTTTTAAAACCAAAGAGCCTGGTGCTGCTCAAAAGGCACCTGTTGTGCGCAGCCGCATCAGGAATGAGACAGTAATGTCTTATTCCCTGCGACCTCGGGTTAGGCCAACCCCCTGCAGCCGAGCAGGTCAGACTGTTGAGTCGTCGGCTCCCGGTATGGTCCCCAAAGAAAACCCTACATTTTGCCGCTGTCTTGTGGGTCAGACTTTTCAGTCAGAGGCTAGGGTCGGGGTCCCCGAACAAAACCCTACATTCTTCCACTGCCTTATGGGTCAGACTTTTGAGTCAGGGGCGAGGGTCAGGGTTCCCGAACAAAAACCTACGTCCTCCCACTGCCTTGTGGGTCAGTCGAAGCCTCAAGGTGGGGTACCTCAACCAAACCCCCTTCCTCGGCCTGGGCAGCCGGGAAGTATCATTTACCCGCGCAGTTCAGCGTCCACCGATGTCCCTCCCCAACCCCTTCCCACCGCACAACAAAACGTTGCTGGGCCATTTGACTGTCAGCCATCTGACCGAAGGGCCTTATGCTCCTCGCTGCCGACAAAAAATAAACAAGTAACACCTTTCTAAATCCACGAGATCCTTTCTATATAGGAGCTTTTAACGTCCGTACTCTATGTCAAATTGGCAAACAGGCAATGCTTGCTGAAACCTTGTACTCCCTTAAAATCGATGTATGCTGTGTCTCCGAAACACGCATACAAGACCCGAGCGTGGTTCTGCATCTCAGAACACTAAGGATGAACTCAGCTCTTTCGCATTCATCCCTCAGTGTGTCCGGTGACCCAGAAGCGATGACTCGTGGGATATATGGCGTGGGAGTTGCACTCAGCTTTACTGGATTTGACCCCAGTGAACAGACGTCTCTGCGCCGTCCGGTTATCCAGTTCAATCAAGCTCAATGCCTCGCGGCATAAAAAGCGGTGCCTGTTTGTCGTGTCGGCTTATGCC